GGGCTCAGTCGCCCCTCAAACAGCGGGGTTTTGCTGGAGGGTTTTCAGCGGGTGGCCGGGCTGAGGGTGGCGTGGGGCTCTGGCTGCCTTCGTGTCCCCAGCCGTGGCTCTGGGGCTCGGGTGGAGTGCCCGCTGTGAGCTGCCTGGCTCGGGGAGGGGTTGTTCCGATGTTCCAGTCACTCCTTTATCAATAATGGTTTATTCACGTTCACCCTCCCGAACGTTGGAGTGGATGCGGTGCGGGAGAAGAGCTGAGAGGAAGGTTGGGGTTAATAAAGAGTATGGAAGATGGAATTGTTCTCCTTTTCTTCGGTGCAAAGGGGTTTGTTGGTTTGTTTTGTTTTGTTTTGTTTTTTCCCCCATGGTTTATTTGTTAATGACTTCTTGCAGTTATCAGGTTAATTACTTGGAGATGTGTGTGTCACTGTATCAGACTATGTTGAGTAGTGCACATAAAAGCATAGAAACGTGTCATAATACTTATTTCTTCTTAAACCTCCTTGTTTTTTCAGTGGGACTTAAGTTCTTAAGCCCTTTTGACACTTAAAAAAAAATAGTAACAGCTGCTTCTTCTATCAGCAGAGACACACGTATGAAGGAGATGAGGTGAGCATATCCCTGATGAGGAAAGGCTGAGGGAGCTGGGGCTCTTTAGCTTGGAGAAGAGGAGACTGAGGGGAGACCTCATTAATGTTTATAAATATGTTAAGGGCGAATGTCAGGAGGATGGAGCCAGGCTCTTCTCATTGATGCCCAATGGTAGGACAAGGGGCAATGGGGGTGAGCTGGAACACAGGAGGTTCCGCTTAAACTTGAGAAGAAACTTCTTTACAGTGAGGGTGACAGAGCCCTGGGACAGGCTGCCCAGGGAGGGTGTGGAGTCTCCTTCTCTGGAGACATTCAAGACCCACCTGGACGCCTTCCTGTGTAATTTCGTTTAGGTTCCTGCTCCGGCAGGGGGATTGGACTGGATGATCTTTTGAGGTCCCTTCCAATCCCCAACATTCTGTGATTCTGTGATTTATTTGCCCACAATAAGCTGTGCCAGCAGGGAACGCACATGGCAGCAACTGCCCGTGATGGAATGGATAGCCAACCTGAACATTGGTAACCGATGGGTTAAGAAAGGTTAATGTGCAAGTACATTGTCGAGAAAAAAATGATAAAAATCCCTTGAAACAGAAAATACTTAATTAAAAGAATACTTCCTCAAATAGCCTCATGCATAAGATCAGATTTTAGTGAGGGTTATACTGAGACCGCAGTCTTGTACTCTTATTGAATATAATTAATAGAACAAATTAGAACCTCTCGCAAAACACCTTTGGTGTATCACGGTAAAATAAATGATAAATTGCTTGTATATGTCTTCGTGCCCAAAGTTTACAAAAGCTCAGTCAGAGCGGTTATAGTGGTTGAAAATTAAATTTTGTCTCATACTCAAGATAGGTTTGTATGTGTAAATAGCCTGTAGGTTAGCTCACAGCCTCTAGCAGAGCTGGAGTATTTAATTTGAATTTCTTTAACATTTTAATGAAGTAATATCTCATTCCTGACAAGACCTACATGTAAGCTTACATTTGTGCGTAGCTTTGTTGAAAGCGATTCAGTGTAAGCGTATAACATATTAGTCAAGGGGACTCTCCAGATGCATATTTCTTTATTAAAAAGATGAAATTGATAAATTACAGAAGGCATAGTTGAAATATGAGTCCCATCAGCCTTGTTGTTAATGAAATTTAACCCAAGTGCTGCCTGACTCTTGCTGTATCGCTTGGTTTCTACACATACCTGCACACGTGCAGTTTCTTGCAAATATAATTACACTTTTGAAGAACACCTCAGAGCGAAGACCTACCACTAGCAGGTTGCTAAAAGGTCATATTTTGTATAAAAGAACGTAAAAAGAGCATTATGAAAGAAGAAATTAGCATCTACAGTAAAATTATAGAACCTGAATTCTCTAATATGTGATTTGAAATTGGTTTGATGTTTTTTCCCAAGCTCTTCCCACTCTAAGGCTGTCTTCAGCAGTGCTGTGTCCTGTACGCCGTGACAAAGCTCAGGGCACCTGACATCCACCATCCAGCTCATCCTTTAATTGCCTGTAGGTTTCCTTCCCCGTTCCTTGTTTTACAGAAGAAGATGTGAGGAGGCAAAACAGAAGTGCCCCCCCTGGGACAGAGCCAGGGTGGCTTTTGCTGATTTGGAACAATGAGTTTTGTCCCTGTCTCTGCCGTTGTCAGAGGTGAGGGATGCCTCTCTAGTGTCTCACCTCAGCTTTGCTTCTGTCACTTCTGCTGCAGCGTGGACAAACCTTTGTTAGACTTACAGGAAAATTGTTCGCTCTTCCTGCCAGGAACCCCGTTGCTCCCAGCGTGACACTAATGAGGCAAGTGCCTTTGGAGATTCTGCTTCAGAACTCGGAAGTAAATACAAGTTTGATAAAAACACAGGTGTGCTATCATCAGTGAATTACCATAAATTACCTACATCAGCAGTGCTCAGAGTAAACACCTGTAGTTATTTTAAAATGAATATATAAACTCGTCATTTAAATAACCGCAGATTCGCATTTAAACGATAGCGATCAATCTGCCGTGTATTTCCAGAGCTCTAGCAGTAAACTTAAAGAGGTGGCAGTCCAAGAGGAGACAGGGGCTCATTGTTTCTGGAAGAAATAAACTGCAGAGAATGTATTCATCAATGCAGAAATAAATTTAGGAGCAGGAGGTTGCAGAAATACGGTCGGAGCGGCGAGAGTTGTGACTCCCGGCCCCAGCAGTGCTCAGAATCGAGCCCCCGTGATCGCCGAGGGCTGGAGCGGCGCTTCCTTTGCTCAGAAATGAAGTGCATCAGAAAGCAGCAGCCTGTGGTGGTTTTCCTGTTTCTCTCGACTTCCACTCCAGATGAAGGGGTGAGAGATTCCCAGTTCTCCACAGCGGGTGCAGCCTCTCCTCCCCGGCAGCCCCGGGCTGGCCTTGGGGGCCAGGCGCGGGCGGGCACTTGAGCGGGAGGGCTGCGCGTGTAGGGTCTGCAATGGCCCTCTTGGTAGTTGCAAGATCCTGGTTTATGTGCCTCGAGATACATTCCTATATTCTTGTGTGTGTGTATGTCTGGATTTTTGCTTTGTGCAGGTCACAGAACCTTACTGGGTCTCAAAATATTCAAGAGTTCACTGTGTGAGTGTTTTCTGCACTGTACAAATGTGCAAAACGTAACAGGAGGATCTACAGATGCAGAGCAAGGTCAATTCAAGTGTTTTTATGGTCCTTCAGTGGATGTGTCGGAAAACTCTCCTGAAGACGTGTGAAGAAGTAAACAAAGGCAAACAGATTGACATTCTGTTAATGGAAGGGAATGTTAAAATGTCAATGAAAATATCACACTTAGATTCCCATCGTGACCACTTGAAGTAAATTCAAGGCCGTTTAATGGAGTTTTATTCTACTATTGAAGGCAAACACACACAACTGTTTAAACAACTTCTAAGCCAATTCAGAGCAAATGTTGCTCATCGATGTGACAGGGAGGAAAGATAAGGCAGCGTGTGTTTAAAGGTGTGTGCTCACTGCTCGTTTGGTGACTGGCTTTAAGGAGGAGAGGATAAAACTGAATGGGATTTGTTTTGTTTAAATCTTGAAATGACAGCTGGTTGTCTTGGAGAATGAAATATTTGGCACCTGGATACGTGCTCTGGCAGCGCTCTGAGCATCCTGATAGTGTCCTTTCCCCTGGGTGTTAATACACGTAGAGAACAGCTCTAGCACTGGGTGAAATGTTAATTCTTGCTTTACGAATGTATGCCAGAACTCCAAATAACACAAGTTATGTGAATACCTGTCTACTTGCTATGCAAATACCTGTCAATTTAAGAAATTGTCTATGAACTTTGGACTAATTTGTTTTACAAAGGACTTGCTTTATAAGGGGCTTTGGAGGAACTTGCTTTACAAATTCGAGCTTGCTTTAGAAAGGTTTTTGCGGAGCCACTGGTGCTTAATTACTTTTGATCATTCTTAATCCATACTATGTTTGAACAAGTAACTATGATATAATAGGATTGTAGTCCAGAAGAGTCTTATATAACTTTTCAGATGAAATATACATGTTTTTACTTACAAATGCTCAGAGGGGCTGACTCAGCAGTCTAACGATGGGTAATGTTTCACCTCTCAACCAGTAGTTTGTTGTGGAGGTGATGGTTATTACAAATGATCTTCTTTCACCCTTTGTTCTGTCAGATGGCAGCGCTGCTGTGTACCAGAGGCAATCCCTTTTGCTAGTCCGCTTGTGCAGCTTTTCCTTTTTCTTTTTTCTTTTTTTAAACCTTTATTTCTCCTACTGTACACCCCCTCCTTATTGCCACTGAATCTGTGTGCTAACGCTTTGTAAGGATGGAACCTTCTGTGGCTGTAGTCCAGGCTATAGGTTTCCATATATATTTACAGAAACATTTTTAAAATCAAACTAATCTTTTGATAGGGCTGTCATGGAAAACTTCCAGTTCTCAGAATCCTTTACATTTTATTCCCAAGGTCCATTATTTTGAGTTAACAGCATGTCTCTTCTGTCTTTTCTTTAAAAGCTACTTGCACGACTTGAGGGCAGAAGTTCTCTGAAGAATCTTGAACCTTATCTGTTTGCTGAGGAAGGATCTCCTGTTCATGGTAAAAATCTCTATCTCATTTATGGAAAAATGTTGATATAAAAGTATTGTCAGAGCAATGTTAGAGATAAGCATACAAGTAGATCTTTCTGCCCTGGATTCAGAACTTTAATTGTTGATGTAGTTTTATGCAAACTAGATAAAATTAAATAATGCAAAGTCACCACTTGAACATTATTAAATGGACTTTAAAATATCTGCTTTATGGGTATCAAAACACAAGTGTAGGTGACTAAATACCAAGCATGTTGGTCTGTTTCTAGTAGTTTTACAGAAATTTGTTCTCGATTCTGTCATTTAACCTTTATTTTAATCCATAGACTAAAAAACCACCACAAAATCCTAATGGCAGGACTTTGCAAACAACTCGAGGTTCAGTAAATAGCAAAGAGTTCAGTGATACGGGGTGGTCTGGATCAGTTGGAAAAAGGGCATGAGCAAAGAGTATGATTTAATAAAGCCAAATCATCAAGCCATTCAGTCTTGAAAACTCTGAAAACTCCTGATTATACATAGATGATGGAACTTTGGAAACAATTCCATTATGAACATAAGTACTAATCAGCTGAATGAGTTCGTAGATGATGTTTGGATCACAATGGCTTACATGGACAATGACATAGACAGTTAAAAGGCAGTTAATGACAAAACAAGGGGAAATGGGTTTAAACTGAAAGAGGGGAGGTTTAGATTAGATATTAGGAAGAAGCTCTTCACTGTGAGGGTGGTCAGACACTGGAACAGGTTGCCCAAGGAAGTTGTAGATGCCCCCTCCCTGTGTTCAAGTGTTCAAGGCCAGGCTGGATGAGGCTTTGAGCAACCTGGTCTAGTGGAAGGTGTCCCTGCTGATGGCAGGGGGGTTGGAACTGGATGATCTTTAAGGTCCCTTCCAATCCAAACCATTCTATTTTTCTGTGATTCTATGATAGACCTTCGGTGAATAAATAAGAATTTCAAATTGGAGAAACTGGGCTACCTCCCAGTGACACTGGTACGGGAAGTTTAAGGTAGATTCTTCTAGCAAGACATTTTAAGATCGAGATTGGATGTTTTAATGAAAGAAATTACCAAGATAAACAGAAATTAGAACACTTGGTAATTCCTGGATTATTGAGGAAGTCAGACTGGTTTTCCAGATTGTGTGAAATTTTATGAATTTCACAATGGAAGAGACTACTTTGATTACACAAAACCAGAAATATATAGTTAAAAAAGGCGTATGGATGGCAAACCATCAGGATCGTGCTGTGAGGTACTGCAGTTGCTGAGTGTGCCTATGAATGAATGGATTTCACATGAAAAGTATGTGGCCGCAGTGGTGATCGACATACTTGTCTGCAATTTGAATTCCCACAAATTGTAGAAGGTTCAGAAGAAATGGCAGAAAAAGCAATAAAAAGAATGGAGATAATTGGATGACAGATGATGCTTGGCCCTCAAACGCAGTCTCTCTGAGACCAGGCATGTATTATTTTGCAGCACTTCAGAATACGTTAGGGGTTTAGCAATAGATGACTCCTGTCCCTGAAAGTTTCAAATGTGATATAACAAAGATAAAGGGCAGAGAAATACTGGTAAGGCAGTGCAAATGGAGCAGAGAAGATGATTTAAATACTCTCAATTCTGAACTGCTTTGTTACCCACAAGAAGAATTAAGAACCAGTAGTGAAATTGGTATGTATTTCACAAGGCTCCTGAAGTCTTTTAAAAACGCGGTAATAGAAAATGCTGACCTTTCAGTCTGTTTTTAGGAACTTTACACACAAGAAACACATGTTTGAGGCTAAACTGGCCATGTTCTGGTAGAAGAGACCATAAGAAGCCTTCCTGGGGGTCAGTAATTGCCCTTGCCATCACAGTCCACAGCATTACCTAATTCCATTCATCAAATTACCAGCTTTGATCTCGATGCTATGTAGGTTGTTTGTGTCTCTCCAAAGACTGTTCCAGAACCTCAGTCCTAAGATGGCTGGACACTTAAATTCATCACTGGTTTCTCTGTGCCAGCACAGTCATTGAGGTTTTGAAGCACTTCTATTTTTCTTTTGCTTTTAACAAATGGCATCAATTATTATCTGTATTGGTCATGCTTTTTGGCTGACAGTGAAGTTGCGTAACATATTGGCACAGATCTTTAGCTTTATATACAGAAATGGACTTCACCTTTTATTACATTTTTGCTTTGTCTTTTAATACCACAGTATTTATATGAGTCCATGTGTTATTTTGATGCGTGTTCTCATTTTTCAGTCTGAAATCCTTGCTGAAGACTTAACCTCTCCATTTGTCATGAACTTGACTTTTAGTAGGTCACTGTGGAATACTGTAATGCATTGCCCATGAAGTCTGTACTGAACAGCTCTTAATCTAAAATGCTGTGATTAAAGCAATGCAGAGACTTAAGTTATGCTTTTTCCTGATGGTATTGGAAACAAACAAACATATATATGACATAAACAAACATATATATGACATTTCAATAAACTATCCAAAGGTTACATTGTAGTTAAGTGTTCATATCATATATGTCAGAGTACTATAAAATAGGAGGAGCTAATATAGGTACTGCTGTGATACTCTAGTCACTGCTTCTAATTATGGTGGACTGGCACATTTAAGAACACATAAGCATATTAATTATGTGCCATTTAAGCTCTTCTGGAATGGAGCAAAAGTGACATGAGCTTTAAATAACCTTCCACTATTGCCAGTCATATTTCTCCTGTGCCACTGGTATGAAGCTGTGGGTGTGGCTGTCAGTATAAAGCTCAGCAGCAGTATGTCACTCAACATTAAATTGGAATGAATATGAGGCCTTTCTATTTCATTTAGAAGTGGTACAGATATTAGTGACAGCTTCTGCACAGCCCTGTACGTTACTTGTCCAGTAACTTCAAGGCATCTGCTGATGTGAAGCCTGTGGAGTTACTGCTGAATATTCTAACAGCCTGTTTGTGACTGCAGCATCAGAAAATAGTTTAACAAACGCTTGCTGGTGTCATAATTACAGATAAAACTTAAGGCTCTTCTCATTCAAAAGATGACACTGAATTGACGACCAGGACTGAGCACAATGTTTCAGTTAAAAATATGTCAGTGTTACATAAATATTTATGTTTATGCAACAGAATTTAGTTTATCTTCTATGCCATTGCATAGCAGTGGACTATTGTCTGCCCATAATGGGCCAGTTCAAGCTGTTGTGAGCCAAGCAGTGTGTTGGGTGACTCCTTAAAATGTACCTCTTGAATTTGTCAGTGCTGAATTTCATATGAAATCATTCTGCTCATCCATCTTGATCTGTTAAATCGTCACAATCTTAAGTCTTTCTTAACCCAATTAGTTTGTCTTCTACACATTTTGCCAAGCTAATGGAACATTCATCTACTCGTACCTTTGACACTGGGCAACCCCAATTCTAATAGGAAAATTTCCCATTAACTTTCTTCCATGTTAAAGTGTCTGTTCCTGCTCTGCCTCTCAGACCACTTTCATCCTGTGACAGTATCTTTTTTACTAAACCTTCTTTCAAAGTTATTTTGACGTTAATGGATGATGCTCGTACTGATCACTACGTTTCTTCCATGACCTGTTGTGAGGATGTCAGAGGCTTCTTGAAAACATTGCTGGCCACACTTCCTCCTCTGCTGTGTCATGGTTTGTCCTCTCTGATGCAGAAAGGATGAATTTCCCCTCTTATCTTACTGTAACAGCCTGGTTGCTAATTTAATGAAACCCTGCATTTATAGATGTTGCTATAAATGGCTTCTGTTTTGCACCCGTTCTTTTTGTGGGCAGCCTCTTTGATAATCAGGAAGGCACAGAAATTCCCAGCTCTCTTGAGGTTTTCTTACAGTCCAAACTGATACTTTTTTTTCAAAGCAACTTAAGGGTTTTGGTCAAACTACAACCCGGATGTGTGTCTTGTTCAGCAATACTGAACGAGCTTTGAAGGGTGCTTAGCTGTCTTGCTGTTGAAATTTATAAACCACCACCACAAAACCTCCTAAGAATTATTTTTTCATTCGACTTGGAATTTTTACTTATATAAATTTGTCAGTTCTGCCAATAAAAGCTCATCCAATGTTATTCTGTGCATTACAGCTCCCTTATGTAAAGTTTTATAGGAGGTAACACACAGATATCCTGATAAAGCGTCTTCAAATGGATGAAGTCAAGCATTTATTTCAATTTTTTTGAATCATTACCAAACAGTAACTCAGATTTACCCACTGCTGCTTCAGAGTGGTCATACAGAGTTGCTGGTTCTTCTGAAACAAGTCACATTTTGCTGCAAAGGTAGGTGAAGCAATCTGTATTGCATATTGGCCCGATTCAGTTACTGGTCTAGCTTCAGAAATGCTAGCCAGGGTGACAGAAGTCTTGTGCCGAAGGCGGTGACAGACAGAAGATACACTTTGTTCTTTAACAAGAGGTGCCTTACGCAATTGTTCTGAAATATTTCAATAGACTTGAAATACGAGGGAATGACCTACCCAACCCAGCACGTTTAGGACTTCTTCCAAGTTGGTATCGTATCGTAACAGGGTGCAGTTATGTCACAGGCACAGCCTACGTGACAGCAGAGCAGCTGCTGGCTGCAAGTGCCACCTCTGGACAGGAAGAGAAAATGAAGATTTATGTCATAGGAAGTGGAGTCATCTTTCATCTCAAAAGTGGGGAGAGCCATTCAGAACAGACAAGTAGAGAGTTTGGGAGGCAATCAAGCTTTTTAATACATTTCAAAGTATCAGAAATTCATAAAAATGGGATTGCAGTAGAGGAGCAGTGGGGAATTTCCTTATGGAGAGGCGGGCAGGCCGAGTGTCACTGAATTGTCACATCAGGTGTCAATTGCTTTCAGCGCTTGCAATGGGTGAAGTAAGAGCTTAGTCTCTTCCCCACCACCCTCCACCCCTCATCCCGTGCTGCATCTTGACATTATATGCACTTATGAACAAGGACATCCTCTGGAAGTTGAGTAATGACTTGAAAAACTCTGTTAACTCAGGCAGGCACAAACACGTTTAAGTAAAGTTCCAATTAATTCCCTGCTCTTGCATCCCCCCTATGAAAAGCTGTTATGCCATTTGCACTTGCCAAGGCCATAAAAGTCTCTCACCTCCCTGCAGTTACAGTTGTGTGATTCTCCTTACCCCATGTCTTTACTCTTCTGCCTAAAATCCAAAATGTCATAAAGAAATGATCCAGTTTCCTAAATCAGAAATTTATAAAAAAGCAACCAATAAATTAATTTTTTTGAAAGTCTTGCTCTCATATAAGACATGAGACAGCTTTGGAAAAGACTTTAGAGTATCTTGCATTCATATCCAACAAAAGAACCAGTTTCCTAGTAAAGTGTAATGCTTTTTTAAATTAACATTTTACATTTATGTGGTATGTATTTTACTGACCCACACGAATCAGGCAGTTAGGCTGAGGCCATTTATGAACAGAGATGCTTTGCTTCAGACAGGAGAGTCATTGCATGGAGTTCAAGGACCCGTGGGTCCCCCTTGTCAAAAGAAGCAGTTTCATATTATGATCACCACAGAAGAATAAAAATGCTAAATAAATATACTGGTGTTCTCTTTACTGGTCACAGATTCCTGTTGGTATCTTGTCATGTGTGGAGATCCAGAACAAGCATCTAGCAGACATGAAATGCTGAAGGACAGTCTCTGCTATAAAAGTAGATGTGCCAACATGACTCGCACCTCTCATGTATCACTTTTTTTTGTTTTGCTTGTTCTCTGCTTTTTTTTTTTTTTCTTAATTTTGTGCACATGGTATAAATAGGTGGTTTCTTAGCCACTTTTTTGTAATAGCTTCCTTTTCAACTTTCATTTCCCTGTATCAACACATGAAGTCCAGTTACCAACCTTCTGTTGATACTGGTGTCCTCGATGCTATTGTCATTTTTCAACCTTTCTTGCCAGCTGGTTTTCTTCACTTTAGAGCCCTTTCTTGAAAATTGAAATTTCTCTTGGTAGATGCTAACAAGGATTTAAATGATGTTATGAATATCCAACTTTCTAAAATGCATTTTCCAGTTAGTGGAATAGTGAGTGTTGGTTCAGTAAATACTGAAAACTGATTCTGAGCTCTAAATGCTCTTACCTGATAACTTGCTGCTTTGTTTTTTGAACAGGAGATGTCATTGAATTCCATGGTCCAGAAGGAACAGGAAAAACTGAAATGCTTTATCACCTAATAGCCCGCTGCATCACTCCAAAATCAGGAGGAGGACTGGAAGCAGAAGTTATGTTCATTGATACAGACTACCATTTTGATATGCTTCGTCTAGTGACCATTCTTGAGAAGAGACTGGCACAAAGGACGGAAGAAGTGATAAAGGAATGCCTGGGAAGGCTTTTTCTTGTGAACTGCAGTAGCAGCACCCAGTTACTCCTCACTCTCTACTCTTTAGAAAACATGTTTTGCACTCACCCCTCTCTCTCCCTTTTGATTTTAGATAGCCTATCAGCTTTTTATTGGATAGACAGAAGCAATGGAGGAGAGAGTCTTAACTTGCAGGAGATAAATCTGAAGAAATGCGCTCACTTCCTTGAAAAGCTCGTGAGAGAGCATCACTTGGCCCTCTTTGCAACAACACAGACACTGATGCAGAAATCTACAAACCCCACAGAAAGCTTTTTTCCTTCAAAACTTCAGCATGAAACCGATACAGACTATAGACCTTATCTTTGTAAATCATGGCAACAAATGGTAACCCACAGGGTATTTTTCTCTAAGCAATGTAATCCTGGCAACAGCAAAGGTTTTACAGTAATTTCTTGCCACCTCAAAAGAAATCATGTAGTGAAACGTTCGTTTAGTGTTGCAGAATGTGGAGTGCAGTTTTAACTTCAGTTTGGTTTTTTAAACATGTCCCAAATCCTGGTGCTTAAGGCCTGATTAGGTCTAAGTCGTTTTTAGTACCTTTTAAACTAGTTGGTTGTTGCTAAGCCATTAAGATTTTTTTTGTCACCATTTTCTTAAAATTTAGTGAAGAGCAGGAAATGGTAGAATTTTTGGAATTACTGTAGACATTCAGTCCAAACCAGTTAGCAATGCTGAAATTACTTGTTCAAGCTTAATGTATAAAGAGATTAAATCAAGAAAATGATAACCAACGGGATTTTAAACTCCTAGTATCCTTCAGTAATCTAACCTATGTGATATGCAGCCAAATGCACTGACTCCATTTCTGGGTCTTGCTGCTTTCCACTCCTCCTCTTCCAAGCTACGGAAATAGGAGCCTGGTTGTCCGTGGGGGAGGCTGCAAAAAGGCGAGTGTTCACTCTTTATAAGTATTGGTCTTGGTTTATTCCCAGTAGCCTAGAGCATATGAAATGCATTCACAACTTTGCCTGAAGAAGAGGATTTGTTTTCACAGCCTGTTAAATAGTGACAATCCTGACCGTGCTTCTCCAAGCTCACAGCCTCTCCGTTTAGTTCACATGTTCTTGGAGAAGCAAGGTTTGGAGAAGCAAGGACTGCAGGTGTTTCCAGCCTTAGAAACATCTGGGTTTGAAGAATCTACAGCTATTGTAGAAATGGAAGCCTGATTTCCATAACTGAAGGAAAAACTAAAGACCCAGCTCTGGGTACCTGTGAGTCTGCGCTGCGTGCAGCAAACAGTTCAGTCTTTGAAAGTACTGAAGTGTGGGTTATGGGTTGTTTTGGGTGTGGGGTTGGATTTTTTTTGTTGTTTTTTTTTCTTTCTTTTTAGATGTATGCACAGACTTTTTTTTTTTCTTCTTCTCTTTGCCCTCCCTCATTATTCCCTCCCACTTCTTTCCCTTCACCCACTCTCTCCAAGAAATCCAGGAAGGCCATGCCTCTGGTCTTTACCAATATGTATTTGCCACATGTAGAACATTTGTGTGCAGGATTTGGCATGCAACATGTTGCAATTCTGGCAGAGAAGATTCAGAACTTATGGGAAATGCCCTACAGTTCTGGCAGAGAATACCATATTATTTATTAACCTAGAGTGCCCTTTGAAAGCTTCAAAGTGCTTTACAAGAAAGAAAATTGCACACAGTACATTATTTAATACAAAAACTTACATTAGCTTACAAATTTAAATTACTCAAACAAGGGGAAAATATTTCTCACAGCAATATTCGTTCAGTCATGTTGCACGGTACGTTTTGTAGTTTAGATTGAACAGATTATTAACAAAAATGCATATTAAGAAGAAATATCTAGCACAGTATCTTTTTGAGGAAGATGCCTAAAAAACTCTATTGTGAGACACTTACCTTTTAATTTCCTGATTTCTGTAGGCAGCTTTTCCAGGCTGAATGTATCTCTGGATTCCCAGCTGTGCACAGTTCAGCGTGCGTTCCCAAACCTCAGTGTATAGAGGTAGGAGCTGTATCTGTACTGTTGTTTATAGAATTTGTCATCTCTGTGATTTGGCTGGATTTTTGCACAGATGATGAGTGTCTGACTTGTAGCAGCAGCCAGTACCAAAGGTTTTGGGAGGAGGGTGAGAAAGATCAGTTGCCACTGGCACAGCCTCCCACAGCATGGGGCCTGGGGAGCTCCTGACCAGAGCCTGCAGTCAGGCCAGTGTTGATGGCCATTGATCAGACCTATCCTCCCTGAATTCATCCAGCCCATTTTTAACTTACCCTCTTGGGTTCCCTTGTGTCTTTTCACAATGAGTTCTGTTTAATTATTATTTCTGTGGGAAAACTTCCTTTTTTACCTGCTCTCATCTCAAACCTGCCATCTGATCGCTTATTTACACCGTCAGTTCTCTTAGGAGCTGTGAGCAAACTCTGCCTTTTCAACATCTCTGCAAAGGTTATGATTTTATAGACTGTCACTTCATTTGTGCTTTCTCTTCCATACACACCAATATTTACTTTATTTTGGCACTTGCAGAAGTACCCAAATACATGAAAAACATACAAGTTAAGCATTCAGTCTAGACTGGACCCAAGTTAGATGGCTTAACACGAGTAGACACTTCCACTGGGAACTATGACAAAGACGTACATACTTGCATTTTTTTGTAAAAAAACAGGAAGATTCAAGTAGAACTACAGAACTTTTAAATGTGAAAATTATCAGGATACAGAATTCCTACTTTAAAAAAAAAAAAAGCAATCCCCTATTGGGGAATACAGCTCCACTGAAGATAACTGCTTAACTGCTTCATAAAATCATACTTGCTATAAAATATGTTTGAGAAAAAACAATGGAAATGTTCTGGCATTCCCATCTGGAAAAAAAAAAAAGTTTATATTAGTCACAGTGTAGTTTATATTTTGCATTGTACTATAAAATAAATTGAAATGAAGCCTAAGTTCTAATTGATCAAAAAGAGCACCTCAGGAAATTTTGAAATTTCCCAGTTTTATTTTGACTTTGAATGCAGACAGATTTTTTTAATTCTCTGGTAATTGTAATATTCATGCTCTGCACATTTGTTTCAGATGCATAGCAAGCCTTGCTTTCAGACATGCTGAGCATCTGCATATCCCTGGGAGTTTGCAGGAGGGGCAGGCAGAATGCAATCTGGGAGTGCACTGACCTTATCCTCTGCAAGAATTATGCCATTTGGAAAAATGAACCTTGAGGATACAAGTCGAAGAAAGATGCAGTGATGAAGAACCTGAGAAGCAGCAATTATGTTTATACCTTAATTAACTGTGGGTATTAAAAATTATTTTTACCCTTTTTTTTTTTTTTAATGGAGAATTTTCTCCATTAAAACTACGTGGAAATCATAGTTAGTGGAGCATGCAGTTTCTCCTCATGAGCCAGGAACAGGATATTAAACATGGCATTATGTTTAGGATATAGTATTAAATCCAAATTCTTTTCTTTCCCCTGGACCTAAGTTACCATCTCCCAAGGAGGAAACACATTTTGGGTTAATAAGTCTTTGCCTCTGGAAATCAGCCCTGCAAAAGATAAGTGCCACCCCCTATCATTAAGTCTAGGGACAGAATATAAATATTCCTAAACTCTCATTTATCCAGGTATTTCTTAGAAATGAAAATCCTTTCATGTCAGTGTCATTGTTCTTCAGCTCAGTGTTGTATTATTATTAAGGTTTCTGTAAGTATAGGAACTTTTTATATTCCTTAGAATTTTTGTTTGTTGCTTCGTATGCAACATTGAATTAAAGCAGCACACTTGAAGTAAAGAGGAACTAGTTCACCCTTTTTTCCTCCATCCTTTTTATAATGAGAGACCTTTTTAGCAAAACCAAATTAAGGTATTGTGCAGGTTTTCTATTTTATTTTAAAATAAACCAGTATTTCTATGGACACCTGGAAAGAAAATGTCATTTTTATATTCAGCAAAAAGTTCTTTGTATTCTAAGACTTTTTTATAGAGCAAATAAAATACAAATAAGAAGTTTCCTTGGTTTGAGTTTTTACTTGCACATAAAATTCAAGTTTCCTCTTTCCGATGCCAGCCACTTAATTTTCCATAGAGAAATGGCAGAAGATAGAGGTTCTCATGTGGAAACACACCTGCAGTTGTATTTTTACTGGAGACTGATGGACAAAGGCAGAAGGCAATTCCTTTCTGATGGCTGCTGGACATATGACTTGGACTGTGTCCTGAAGAGGAACACAACATTTTAGTTATTTTCTGTCTCAATAATTATCTCTTTAACCTCTTTATTCAAATATATTTGTTATGCAAATATCATACCAGGGTAATAGGTAACATCATTTTGTGATCAGCACGCCTCATGCCAAACTTAATACCCACCTCAAGAAAGCCATGCCACACCATCAAACTTGAACTTGTGGAGGAAGTTGCAGTGAATGCTCATAGAATGGTTTGGGTTGGAAGGGACCTTAAAGCTCATCCAGTTCCAACCCCCTGCCATCAGCAGGGACACCTTCCACTAGACCAGGTTGCTCAAAGCCTCATCCAACCTGGCCTTGAACACTTCCAGGGAGGGGGCATCCACAACTTCCTTGGGCAACCTGTTCCAGTGTCTGACCACCCTCACAGTGAGGAACTTCTTCCTAATATCTAATCTAAACCTGCCCTCTTTCAGCTTGCTCACCTGTGTAAAAGCTGCAGACACTTTTAAAATGTTTCTAACAACTATACGGTAGCACAGGACTTGTGCGTTTTGTAAAGAAGGGGAAGCACTGGAAGAGCTTAGAAGACTTTGGCAGTGGAAGGAGCATCAGTACAATGCTTCTGCATCATCTGGATAAAAAACTCTGATGCCCCGCAGCAGTCTCTGAAATAAAAGGTCTGGCCATCCCCATGCATGAAAGAAGACAGCAGAATGGCACTGAACTATGAATACAACAAAAGGAGTCTTGAACTAACATGTCTAGCATGGTAAAGCTTTCAAATATACAGTTGGCTATAGTTGACCTGCAGGTTTTTCCCACCAAGGGATGAAACTGGTGATGGTTTCCACTCTGTAGATGCTGTACAGCTTATTTATAATGCAGCTATAAAATCCTGCTTCTCTGGACCCAGGAGGAATTAAATGTAAAAACAGACTTCCTTTTTTATGTTGGTTTTTTTTTCCCTCCAGCTCTAGGCATCTTCCCAACAGTCAGCACTTAGCTCCAAAAGCACTTCTCACAGCTTCTCTGTCGGAACCATGCTTTACTGGAAGTGGATAATGTTCTCCTTTGCTGAGAGTTTATGTACACGCTCTTTATTACCAGTGCAGACTGGGATACCCAAATATAGAAGACTGAACCGATGTGACACATCAGCGTAACTGGTAAATAGCTTTGGAGACTTTGCAATCAGGAGTAATGTCACATCGGAGGAGATGATTCTGAAGAAATGGGGCTGTGACTTTTCTTGGGGAAAAGTCTGGCAGTCTTCCCTTGGCTTTCCCACACTGCTCTGCATCCTGCCCCAACCAACTGGTTGGTGTACCCGTGTGGGCCTCAGTGCTCAAGGAG